ATTGTTTTGAGCCATCATTCAATGAATTTGAAGAATTTTTTTTTCTAGTTATCGTGTTACAGATGATTTTTCAAAAAATTCAAAACTTTTAAAAATGAAAAAATGTATTTGATTTTGGATAACGGCGATGGATAGGGCTTAACAAAGCCTACATTGAAAAGAAAAGAAAGATTCAATTCCACCGATTAATTAGGGGGAAATTAAAGACAAAGTTTGAAAAAATTGTTACATACATCCACAAATACATACATTCGTAAGCCAACAACGGATTCTCTTGAAATTTTATCTGAATAATCTCTTGATAACTCGCGAAAATTGCGGCGTCTTAAGAATAAAACTCCTGGACTTAAATATTCTTCTTCCTCGAGCAATGCCAAGAGCTATCCAGCTAGTTCCTCATGAATGATGAGTACATGCATTTTTCCTCCACCCAGTACTGATAAATTAATTATTGAAGGATACTCATCCGTGATATCTTCCATAGATGACAGATTCTTCATTACTCTGATCATTTGTATTCGTTGAAGTATAAAAAAAAAGGTGAAAATCATCTGTACTTTAATATTTAATTGTTCCTCATTGAATTTTTTTCATATTTTTATTCACCCGTGATAGAGATGAGTGGATGTCGAGGAATTTCGAAAATAGTAAATTATGTTACCAGACTATAAAATTACTATCTGGCGAGTGTGGCCTTATAATCCAATTATAAGCACATTCGTCAGATAATACTCCCATCGTCGTGTGAAATGAAGGATTTTTAGACGTGCACAATTTTACCTACGAGAAAAAAAAAGCTTTAAGCACTATTATCGTCCCATATTTACGCCGTCCGTACGCCAGGAGGTGTGCGTAAAAAGTGGTTTTACGCACACTAATTTATTTTTAACCAATCGGGGACGTTCTGCTTTATTTAAGAAAATGAGATTATGACGATTCAAATTTAGATGTGTATGAGCTTCGGTAAAACGAATCATCACCATTGATATCTGACTTCTTCATCAATGTCAACCTTTTACCTCAATCTTTGATGTCAAAAATCAAAGCTCATGAGAAAAACAATCCAATTCCTCTCAGCTTTTGAATGACTTCGAAGAAATGTGACTGGATCGACGCAGAATCCGCATATGTATTTTTCGTTTCAATATTTGCTTCAGTCGTAATTCAGCAACAAAAATTGTAATTTTGTCATTGATTAATGGTGATAATTCTACTGCCAAGTTAAATATAAAACATTCATTTTAAAATTGCTTCCTTATAGGTATTTTGCGGCGAAGGACTTTTTGTAAGCAGATCAGATCTGGAGCGCTTGGCTAAAGGGGAGCACAAGGGTCTCACTAAAAAAATAACAGCTCTGATGTATTTGTTTTATGGTGCTGATGCCCCTAAGTATGGCCTAAGAAAAGAAGGACACGAGTGCATCATTCCAAAAGTGCACAGAGAGGCAATGCAGAATATTCTGAATTCTTTGAAATGGGAATGTGAGGATCAAAAATGGGTCCAGCCCAAGAATCTCGGTGAAGTATTGAAACGTGTTACCTGGCAGTTGCGAAATCCAACTCAGAAGCCACTACCCGGTGATTCAGGTAATACAGAGTCAAATAAAGGCCAGAAAAGGAAGAAAGGAAAGAATACAGGGGGATCAGCGAAAAGTAATAAAATTGAAGGTGCTGGGAAAGTAGAGACACAGGTCACCAAAGATAAAGATTGTGATGTCAATGCCACCAAAGATGTTAATCGAAAAGAGGATGTGGAAGAAGAAAAAGAAGTCGGTGAACTCAGTGGAGGTCAAATTGATAATGCTGACGACTCAGACGAAAGTGAGGATGCAGAATCTTCAGCTACCCCTGTCAATGAAGAACCAGCAACGGCTGAAGATGACAGCGATGGTAATGATGACTAACCGATCATCTTCATTCAGTAGCGTTCTAAAATGTTGTTTAACATTCGAGTAATTTTTTTTTATTTTTTCATGTTTTAGTGCAGGCACCAAAATATTGGACAAAACTGGCAGTTTCTACTGTATTTCACTTGAATTTCCATGTGACATTGAGGGAAATTGAAAAATTTGTACTCTACTTTATTCTTTGATATCTTTGTTCCGCAGATGTGAGGTTCTCGAGCTTTTCCGTCAGTTTCTCATCAATTTTATGGAGTGAATGAACAATTTTGATGTGTGTTTAGTTCTCAATTCAAAATGGTCGATAGGAACTATTTCATGAAATACAACCATGGCCGTGATCCTTCAATGTAATTATATACTAAGATATTTTTTGAAAAAGTTCCTCCACAGAACCTTTCCGAGTCTTTCTAACTTCATTTTTTTCTAATCTCATGCGACAAATTATAAAACCTAACTAAAATAATCCTAGCCGAGGGATACCAGTGGAAAATATTTCAATGGAATAAAATTCATAGGAAAATTAGATCTCAATTATTTTTTAGCAAAAAATAGGCTATTGACCATCACTTTTTAAAGAAATGTCCGGAAAAGCAGCGATTGTTTACATAGAAACTGCAAAAACCTTGTACAGTTTTCAATGAAAAAAATATGGAAATTCAATAGGACCTTCTTGGACGTCCAACAGATAATTCACTCAATTATATTGGACGTCTCATGGACTTGAGGAAGCATCAACAGCCGGACGCTGTTGGACCTCCTGAAGACCAATTTTTGGACCTTAACTGGACGTCCCACGGATGCCCACTCAATAATATTGGATGTCTTATGGACTTTAATTCGAGTCCTACGACGACGTTCTGTGGACCATTCAATATGACTTTCTTGGACGTCCAACGGACACTACACTCAATGATATCGGACGTCTTATGGACTTGAGTGAGTACCAACAGCAGGACGTTGTCGGACCTTCCGAAAACCAATCTTTGGACCTCAACTGGACGTCCAACTGACGTCCACTCAATAATATTGGACGTCTTGTGGACTTGGATTCGAGTCCCACGGCGAAGTTCTGTGGATCATTCAATATGACCTTCTTGGACGTCCAACAGACACTACACTCAATGATATCGGACGTCTTATGGACTTGAGTGAGCGCCAACAGCAGGACGCTGTTGGACCTTCCGAAGACCAATTTCTGGACCTTGAGTGGACGTCCAACGGACGCCGATTTGATAATATCGGACGTCTTGCGGACTTGAATTCGACCCCTAATGCGACGTTCTGTGGACCGTCCGATAGGACTTTCCCGGACGTCCAACGGACACTACACTTAATGATATCGGACGTCTTATGGACTTGAATGAGTATCGACAGCAGGACGCTGTTGGACCTTCCGAAGACCAATTTTTGGACCCTAACTGGACGTCCAACTGACACCCATTTGATAATATCGAATGTCTTGTGGACTTGAATTCGACCCCTAATGAGACGTTCTGTGGACCATCCGATAGGACCTTCCCGGACGTCCAACGGACACTACACTCAATGATATCGGACGTCTTATGGACTTGAGTGAGTACCAACAGCAGGACGCTGTTGGACCTTCCGAAGACCAATTTTTGGACCTTAACTGGACGTCCAACTGACGCCCACTCAATAATATTGGACGTCTTGTGGACTTGAATTCGAGTCCTACGGCGACGTTCTGTGGACCATTCAATATGACCTTCTTGGACGTCCAACTGACGCCCATTTGATAATATCGGACGTCTTATGGACTTGAATACGACCCCTCATGCGACGTTCTGTGGACCGTTCGATAGGACCTTCTCGGACGTCCAACGGACACCTAATGGATTTACATTGGACCTCTTGGGACCTCTTGCTGGACGCCCTTTTGACCCCTATTATTCTTCCCCTTAACAGACGGTTGGACGTCTTTTAGACCTCTGTTAGACGTAAGAATCTTTGAGAGGACGTCCTATGGACTTGATGCATAAGAAAAAATCCAGGACCTGGAAAGTCCTAAAATGACACATTTGGACCCTCCACCAGACCAAAATAGACGTCCCAAAAATCACGTCCAAATTTGGTCTAAAAGTAGTCCATAATTTCATCATTGGATAACTAAAAATGCAAATAGCATAATTGTTGGGTGAAAGACCGATGGGAGTCTATAAATTCAGGAATTACATACTATGCGTTAATATTATATTATCGAAATATTTAAAACTAGCAGGTAGTTTATCCAGAATATTTATTCCCACGAAGTACGAAATTCTAAAAATAGAATTAGTTATGGAGGGTTAATTCTGTAGAACGCATTAGGGATTGGAGCTGAAATACAACTAACAATTACACATCAGAATGTCAAATTGACGAAACAACAATTGATTGGAGTGAATAATTATTGGAGTATTATTTTGCTGGGTCACACTCCTTCTCATAACTCAATTGGGACGGCTATTTACCGATGGCGGCGCTCGTGACGCCCTGACAAGATCGTGGATTGCGAGTTTTCACATTCAAACTTGAGCGGTCGCTAGAGCCGGCCCAACAACTATCAGTGCTAACAGTTGTTTTCAGTTGCTTTCCGCACATTTTTTGGCATTATTAATTGCATAATAAATATTATCACAATGCTTACGGTAATATTGGAGGAAATTTTTAAGTTCGTAAAAAATAACGAGAAGTCGAGAAATATCAAAAGTCAGAGAGTATTAACCTCAAAACAATTTGATTCGTTGTGGCATGAGATCAACAAGTCCAAATCGGGGGGGTCATATGACCACGAGAATGGACTGGTGGTGTGTTTGGTGTGCTCCGTCTTTTTAATTTTGTTATACGAGTGTGGTCCACGCTAGAAGCGCTATTTTGTGGTCATTGGATGGCGCAATTCGCCCTGCATCCTATGAGAGTTTCGGGAAGTAGGACACCTAACCCTTTGCTTCAAATTCTGTAAGTTTTTTCTTCATCTCAACTTGGTGACAGTGGGGGTTAGGTTGCTGGCGGGAGGGAAGCAGGGCCCTACCGCGCGCTATTCGAGAGTGGCGCCATCTGTTGCACACGCCGTCAACCCGTTTGCCCTGATAAATCCATGTCTGACACAGGATCACTCACCGACGGCGATGGAGGTACCGACACCTGTCCATCCCTAAAAGCTGGTCTCTATCCGAAGGTAACACCCCAATTGCCTTCTGCCAAAGTTGCGGCTGATACGCCTCAGGCTACCACTCAAACGCCGAGTACTAAAGGAACCCCTAAAGATCGTGGTACTCGGAAGATAAATACAATTTTCCCAATTATCCAGCCTGCAAATCTCATCCTCCAACAGGCCGATAAAGAGGTCAGCGAAACCAAAAATCCCGCCGAAAAAGTAAAAGAGTCCGAGAAGGCCGAGGACAAGATTAAGAAAAAGAGGAAAAGAGACCCGGAAGAGAAGGCGAGGTCCCTGTTGTGCGAATCTCCGTCTGCTTCCGCGAAGAAATTGGCCACCATGGACAATCAAAGAAGAACCTCGACCACTCCTCAGCCACCCCCCACATCAGACAACAAAGGTAATCCCTCTCAGATAGATATGGGGACCGTTCTCAACAAACTCCTAGCAGAAGTGTCGGCCTCAAGAGTTGAAAACGCGAGCAATTTACGAAAATTGCTGAGGATATCTCTGGCATCAGAGCCGGAATGGCGAAGAGGTACAAGTTTTGGGAGGAGAAGTGGAACGAATTAAACGACAGAGTTACGAAGCTATAAAACGTGCCCACCTCAGCAGATGTCATTGTAAGAGCAGAGGAATGAGCTGATATAGACAAGAAAATCGAGAATTTGCGGAGCAAATTGGGTGACCACCCTCCTGAAGAAGTCAAGTTACTGCAAGAGAAACTAGCCAAGCTCGACAGTCTAATCGAATCATACGAGAAATAATTGAGAAGGAATAATTTGATTATTCGAGGTCTCGATCTCCCGGACAGGAATACAGTTGATGCGGAGAAGACAACAAATGACGTGGTACGAAACTTCCTCTCGATAAAATTTGGTATCACTAGGGACTTCTCGAAACCCAGGCGTCTTGGGGATACTTCCATGATAGCGATCACACTCAACTCTTTGGAGGACAAAAAAACAATTTTATCTCAAAAAAGTAAAGCCCTATCCCACACCGAGGTGTATATTGACAGTGATCTAACTCCGAAGGAGTCCAAGGTGACAAAATTCATCAGGGACCGTGCCAGAGAAGAACGACTCAAAGGTAATGTCGTTAAAATTGGCTATTTCAAACTGTTAATTTATAAGGACTGGTGGTACTGGGATGACTCCACGCAGAATCTGGTTTTGTCTAGACCTAGAGCAGGCCCAAGTGGCAATAGACGTGGCCGTGGACATCGAAGCACGAAGTCAACCTCAACTGGAGCGCCAGGTACCGCAGGGACCGCCTAATGACGACACATTCCCAGCCACATTGCCAGCCGCACAAACTGCACCTACCAATCTCAGCCGAAGCCATTACTCCTACTCCACCCCCCCCCCCAACCCCACGCCCGACATCAATAACAATAGGTTTTTGGAATGCTGATGGTCCCTCCAATATACATGAAAGAATCGTAAAAAACCGAAATGACATGCTAAGTATATCAGAAACTTGGATATTGCGACAGCCCGTGAAACTCGCAGCAGTCTGGGATGACTATCAGCACTTCTGGGTCCCGGCAGTGAAGGACAAGATCAAGGCACGAGCATCGGGCGGGCTTGTGATTCTCCTGCAAAAGTGTTCAGGCAGCTTCATCGTACTGGCTGTACAGGAAAAGTGGATCTTCGTGAAAGCCGAGTTATATGGGCGAAGCCTTATTATTTGCTCAGCATATTTTAATCCCGACACAAACGCGGCGGTGTTGACTGACTGTTTTCAGGCCCAACTAGAAGAGCTACAGACTCAATACCCCGAAGAGATATTCCTGATAGGTGGTGATCTCAATTCGAGAGTGGCACAGGAAGATTGCCTTCATGAGGAGATTTTTGAAGATCTCTCTCTTAGAGGAACGAGGGCTTCGCTGGATGAAGAGTTTAAGGGTCACGCCAAGGCTGTATTAGAGGTGATGGAGCTCAACAGCTTTGTTCTACTCAATGGCAGATCGAGAAGTGATTTTCCCGGGCGTTTTACCTTCTTCAATCACAAAGGTAAAAGTGCGGGTGATCAAGCTCGGATCAGTGCAAACGGCTTGGAGATTGTGATGGACTCCGAGGTCATCTACACGCCGACTGGGTCAAACCACTTTCCCGTAGTCGTAACGTTCTCTTCAAACGAGGAGTCCCCAATGGAGCTGCCCAATACCGCACAGAAAAAGCAGATTATCTCATGGAAACAGGAATTACTTGAAAACTACCAGGAAATCATTCGTCACTCGCCACGTATTGGTGCACTCAATGGGTACTCATCTCCCTGTGAACTTAACGATGCTCTGTGTTCTGCTGTAAAAGAGACTGCGCGTGCCCTTGGGATGACTAGGACGATTAACAACCAAAGCCCTGCGAAATACAAACAACCATGGTTCGACGCGGAGTGCGAAACTCTCTTAGAAGACAAGGTGAGGACCCTCAGGAGAATGAGAGCGGAAGACAGCGAGGAGCACATTTAGACGTTCTTGGCAGCAAGAACCCGTTTTAGGGAAGCAAAGAAGTTGAAAAGATTGCAGTACGAGAAAAAAGTGACAAAAAATCTGGCTGAAGTAAACAACTCGAAGACTTTTTGGGAGACCGTGAGGAAGTTTTACTATAAAACTGGCAGAAAACCACCAAATATCACAGAGCTACAGTGGATTACGTACTTGAGTGCCTGCTACCCACCCAATCTCTCTGATGAGGTCTATTTCTATGGCGTCTTAGACCCTGTTTTAGATGCCAAAATAACAGTGGATGAAGTACGCAAGGGTCCTCTGACCTGCAAACTGGGTAAATCGCCAGGCTCCGATGAAGTGACAAATGAGTTTCTGAGGGCACTTCCATCAAACTGGCTTCTGTATGTCACAGGATTTTTTAATACTATTATGAGAGACGAACAAACCCCTGAGAGCTGGTCCCAGGTGACCCTTACCATGATATACAAAAAGGGGGATGAGAGAGATCCTGCAAACTACCGTGGTATTGCGCTAGTTAACTGCATTGCTAAATTGTTTACTACTGTGTTAAAGAATCGTCTAGAACTGTGGGAAGAAAAACTGAAGATTATTCCGGAGTACCAGGCAGGATTCAGGAGGAAGAAGGGCTGCCAGGATAATATCTACACGTTGTTCTCGGCAATCCACCTCCAGCTTCGATTGACGAAACGCTCCGTGTATGGGTTATTTGTGGACTACCAAAAGGCGTTTGATTCTGTATCTCACGACATCCTTTGGAGAAAGCTGCACGAGCTTGGCGTTAGCGCCAAAATGCTCAGAATTATAAAATCCCTGTACGACAGAGCCTCAATGAAAGTGAAAATGGACTCGCAGCTTACGGACCCAATAGCAATCACCCAGGGTGTACTCCAAGGAGAAATCTTAAGTCCACTCCTGTTCATCTTGTTCGTCCATGACATCGAGGCGTTCATGCAGAGAGATGGTAACAGAGGAATCAGCATTGACGGGTTTACGGACATCCAGACATTGTTGTTTGCAGACGATATGATATTCCTAGCGCACTCTCCCTGGGCCCTCCAACGTATGCTCAACTCGCTACAAAAATACAACCAAACAAACAAGCTAATCTTGAATGTGCAAAAAACCAAAATAATCAAATTTAGTGCCTCTGGAAGGACTAAAGGAACAAAATTCTTCTATGACGGTTTTGAAATAGGCTCTGTAACAAAATACATCTATCTGGGTGTGGATTTTTCCTCTTCAGCCCTGGGCTACCAGGCTGCCCTGAGTGCTACTACAAAAACGAGAGTCGCTTGTGGAACAGCAACATCTATCTTGAATAGAACTAAATCAGCAGATTGGCCCTCCAAAGTTAAAATTTACGAAAGTCTTGTAGCCTCCATCATGCTTTATACTGCTCCAATTTGGGGTCTGAGGTATGGCGATATGCTGGAGAGGACCCAGATGCTGTACTTCAAAAGGTTATTCCACCTTCCTAGACACACGTCGAATTCAGCTCTCCATCTTGAAATGAATATCCTGCGTGTCGAGCACCGTCTACTATCACTGGCCCTTGCCTGGATTATCAAAGTGCTCGGGATGGATGAATCGCGCCTACCCAGAAAATGCCTACTACGTCAAATTAACTTAATGAAGACTACAGCCACCCCCTCAAAGTACAACTGGACTTCCCAAGTGAATGACTTACTAAAGAGAGTGAGCTATGATAACTTATGGTCCACTCTAAATCCTGAAGCCTAGGTGCTTGCGAAAGAAGGAATTCTGACAGATTACGCAAAATATTTGAGGAACCGAGATCTACAGAAGTATATGCTTGCCGCTAGTTGTCAAAACCTACTCCCCGGACTGATGGATCAGGGATTGTCACCACATCTGGGCCTTAGTTGCAGTCTACCATTTACCCGCGTACTCCTGCAGCTCAGACTAGCGGGTGCCGGTCGCTGCTCAATCTATCTAAACCATGTAAGCTATTCTCTGAACCCACTAAAGGACTGCGTGCTCTGCACCCTCCAAGAGAAGGAGACAATTGAGCAGTTTCTGGTGACATGTCCTGCTCTTTACAACCTCAGGGGGAAATACCTCTCGGGTGTAATAATTGCTGCGATTGGGAGACTAACCTTGGAGGGCGTTAGTCTTGAACAAAGAAATTTATGCAGACGTATCCTGGAAAATACCAAAGTCGACGAGGTTAAAGCCGTATTTGTATATACAAAGCAAGCCCTGATGGAACGTGAAAGGCTGACCGCCGGAGATTTGGAGTCTCCTCCCCAGGCTGATTGAGACCGCTAGCGGTATTGGAGGACCCGATCCTTCCCATAAACCACCGAAATTATCGATTGATTTATTACTTTCATAACGTTGAACACATCAATAACCTATTGTGAACTTGTACTCTTTTAAAATTACGACGAGACCTTTTTTTTCTTTTTATATGTATATTCTATTATCGTACTATCTCTATTTCTATGTATGTATGCTACAGGTGTATCCTAGGGCAATTATTACAATAAACTGGAACAAGTCCAAATCAGGTTCACATGTATGCATTATGTATGAAAACAAGTGTTTTATCAAATTAATTTTCAATAAACTTTTGGAACAGGTGTTTACGGTTTTCAAGTCACCGCGCAGCCAGAACCTTCAAATCCGCCATGTTTTTTAGTTACGCAGGGGCTCACGAGGTCTCGCATTTTTATGTAGCGTCCCCAATTGACCAGAAAGTATTTTCGCCAGAATTTCTAAAATGCCTGATAATATAGAGATCCGATCAATTAGCCCCTCATGTATAGATATTCCAAATTTTTATTTTTTTCCTCATTGAAGTAGTTTTGAAGAAAATTGCGAGCTAATAAAAAACATTTGCTAGTTAGTACTTTTTTTAAAATAAATTTTTGTAAAATCACCCCTGAAAAATAAGGTGTTATCCCCCCTATTTCATTATTTCCAAAAATTGTTTTCACCAATCCGTAGCAAATGGTTTGAAGATTTTTGCGAGTTAAGAAAAAATTGCCAATGCACTCCTATTATTGTGTAAATTAACAATGCCAATTTCAACTGAAAACCAGAGTTAATGACCAGAATTTGTAGCAGAGATGTCAGACAAGATATGAATGTTTTTTT